AAAACGTATTTTTACCAAGAAACTCCAAAGGAGCTTCCTTAAAACATGTGCATATTTGAACATTGTTGGTGAGTATGTTGAATCACCCTAATCTACGCTTTGTCATACTCGCACATTTGAAGACAACGCATTTAATTCCACATAACTTACACTGAAATTATCTTCCTATTAATACTATGACAGGAAGCAATACTGTGATTGTTCAAAGTAGTTACAAAATTGCAATTAATGACGACAACACCTCTCCACATCTAAAAGTCAAAATTAAGATGAGTTTATGCGATCCTTATCACCCGCCGCAGTTGAGGCGACAGTGTGTCGGCAAAACCGCTAGAATTAGCATCAGCAGCACGTGGTAGGTTCGCAACTTAAAAGATGGAAACAATAAAAATTTCTTCGCGACAGAGACCCACTATATCCGAAAACTTTCCATTCTGAAAATCGGGTTTAGTTTCAACTTCGCAGTGTGCCTCCGGACTTAAGCTAGTATCGCACGACATATTGGGTAGAGTAAGATGCTCAACAAATCAAGTCCAGTACTGTGCCTCCAACCCCAACTGAATCTTAAACTTGCCTCCGAGTTCCTACCGCTACAAAACAGACGCCAGCACGTTAAAGAGGCACTTCGCCCAGGTGAGAAGAAATGAAACGCCCGAGCTCGAAATCTCAAGAACACTTATTGTAACTTCAATCGCATTCCACCCGTTAAGTTGTTTTCCTGTCACTGATGTAAATGCATCGGAAAAAACCCGCATTGAGAACACGCCGCTTGATGAGGACCAACTCCATACAGCCGCAAACCAGTGGTTGACGATATTATGTTTATTAAACACAAAAATCTAAGTGTTGCCAGTAGGATTTAGCGGTTCAAATGTGGAGCGTACGTACATCCTGACTCCTGAATATATGCAAAAAAGTCGGACGCCTACAAAATCGAAGTACGGGAGCGGAGCGGTGGTGTAAGAATCGCTCGAAAACCCAACGACAAGCAAACACCAGTAGTCCACTATATCATCGCAGCTTTGGTAGATTCGACACAAATGGAGCTTACTCAGTATATGGTTATAACCAAGGTGGACGTTAATACATTCATTACGCACATCCAAAAAATCGCAACTGTGTGCGCAGAGCACAACGCACGAGTTAAGAACTCTGCTGAGGTTACTCAGGACGTCAAATAACACAGTACAAGGAATTCAAAAACAAGTTGCACATCTTTTACTGAAAACAACCCCAATTTAACCTGTGTAGGAATCGCAAGGACACACTATAGTTTCAGCGTCCACGGTAAACATGTGGCGCCAATTCAGACCTGAAAAACGCTTTATCCAGAGCAGTACACGATTCGAGAATGCGAGCTTTGGCACAGGTACAGACGTCTAAACCCTCAAAACAGAGGCTTTCGACCCAGAGGCGCATAAAACAAACAATTTCAGTGATGCTTCGAATCTAGCAAAGGGTAAAAGCCTGTCTATGAAGCCATGTCGAACACTTGAAAGCCTCGGGCACGCCAGCAACCAGCCAGAAACTGACTTCGGATGGGTAAGTAGCTGGTGACATTAGTTAATAGATTCAAGGGCGCAACTACTAAAAAGAACGGATGGGCAGAATAGTGCACGAAAAATCACATTGACCACCAATATCAAAAAGGGACTAATGAATAAGCTGCCGATAATTAAAAGTAGGAATATAATGCTGCAAACTTAAACATCAACAATACTCGGGGAAACAAAACCACGATTTATGTAGACTATGACCTACCGTCATATTCAAATACTGTTACGCTAAAATTCGACCACGCATCTGGTAAAAATAAAAGAAACAGCATCGTCATCCATGTTTATTCAACAATTATTTTGTTGCATGCATATATGTGAGGCCGCATTTGCCACAATATTCCCGATCAAAGTGACTGGCCATAAAGACACCAGCACCACACTCTTTGTTTGGGCACTCTCGTCGTAGCCGAGTGAGTTTACCGTTTGGTTCAACCTATTCAAATACAAAACAAAGGCATCACTTTACCTGGTAAAATTTGAGCGTGGCAAGCTTAACCTTTTTCGGCTTCCTTTTAACTTTCTTTGGTGTCGTGTAAACCTTTTTCTTGCGCTTTTTTGCGCCACCCAAAAGATCGACGTTCAAGTCAACCTGAGCAATATCAGAGTCAAAATAATCCTCAAGATTCTCGGAATCCGCAAGATATGACCCGTTGTAATATAGAGACTGAAGGGACAAAGGTATACCCTCAGAGGCCTCTATACGACTTTTGAGGTCATGAACAGAGCTCTGGCTCGGGCAAATAACAGACAGTGGCGAACCACAAGGGCGACGTAAAAGAACGTGCATTGTTAGGCCACGTTAGAACAAAACCAACGAGAACAAAGCAAGCGCCAGAAAAACTGCCAACTCATTTAAAGCATGCAGTTATTTTAGTGCATAATCGAAAGGCAAAAATTTAAGAGCCGGAAGGTATGAGTATATTTAACCTCTACTCCTAAACAATATTATAACTTGAACAGAAGAAAACATCATTCAGAACTTTTCACATATTGATAATTGTGTTGATAAGGCGCGATAAAAGACAAGCTAGCATGTTTTTTTCTGAGTTGTGTCTATTATAAGTAAAAATCAAAAATTGTAAAAAATTCGAAAAAAAAATTTAGCATCAGGAATATCCAATTGTCAATTTGTTTTTTATTAACAATTCCCTATGTAATGAAAACCAATTACATTGAAATTTTTTATGGGATTAATGTCTTGCCTTTTGAATAATTTAGAAATTCCATGTTATTAATTTTTTTGGCTTAAATCTTGTAATACTTTCATTTAGTTTTTTTAATTTTTTTTCATTTTGTTAATTTGCACACGACAGTTATAAGTATTAAGAAGCCATATCTATGCGTCTCCCTGTTTTAAAACGGTAATCAGTGAATTTTTAGTCAAAACTGAATAATGTTTAGGGCCATACCTTCACATTATTTATCATTTGCCACATTTAATCTAAAAAAAGTATAATAATTTATTTAGCCACACACCTCCATTTATTCTAGCATTGTGGTCGTGTTTCGCTAAAGGTTTTCCTTTGTAGTAGCTGCATATTTATCATTTGTCATGTTTGTTATGTAAGTTAGAGCATTATTACTGATCCCAGCAGTTGCCTAATTATTCGAACTTTATTTTTTACGTAGCATAATTAAAATTTGCTGATTTTTCAAAACTATTAAAGAAAGTGGCGTTTAAGTGGCGTAGTCTAAATATTTACTTCGACGAACCATTAAATTTTAGAAAATTGTCGTTACCAATTTCTATAATTACATTTCATTGTCGTTTAGACAATTTTAGTATTTTACCATATTATTATTATCCTGAGAAAACGATATTGTCTGATGAGCCCTTGATTGCACTTCTGTGATTTCAATTTTGAACAAAAACATTGCTGATACCAAGAATTTTTAATCACAAAGTTTTTGCCTATGCACTTTTGCACTCCATATTGTCCATCAATGTAGAAATCCAGCGCAATTATTTCGGCATTTTTCTGCATGTATCAGCAAGTCCAGCTAATATTCTGTGCGCAATGCAATATGTTTAACCTACCGTTCAAAGATACAGCCAAAATTAAAAAAAGAAGTGCTTTGTTTGATGAAACCCAGATCTGGTTTTTTTATGTATCCGAATTCCCTTATAGGTCATCTTTTCTGATCAAGCCACATGTAAAATAATAAACGGTAGAGCCCAAAAACGAGCACTGAACTTCCAAGGAGCTCCTAAACACTGTCTATTACTCATTTCTTATATAAAAGTTGTGTAATTGAAAAAAAACTCTTTCTTAATTTCCACAGCTTTTAAAATTAAGTCAGATATAACACGGATTTTGTCTGTCACCTTTAAAAAAACAGCACTATCTGATGATACATTTTCTAGGTCTTTTGCCAATTGCAACATTCATGCTACAATTAACTGGGGGTAATTAATTACCTTCATATCTTAAAAAATTGTGCTTTCTTAGCCTTTTAAAGTTTCACGGCTTTAATGTCACCTACTTATGTACATATGCTTAATAATGACCATTAGCAAATTTAGTACTGTCATAAAAACGACAGTATTGCCAAACCAGGTGTTGCTTACATTGGTAAATACCGGTGATTAAAAAAAAGTGTCGAATTTTGTGCTTATTACAATTTTTTGACACATAAGTTTATGTGCTAATGCTTACAACATCAAGTAACTTTAAGCTACCAAAACCAGGGTAATTTTGAAAATTTTGAAGTTTTAGTAACACAGTTTGTCAAAAAATAAAATGGTGATGTTTTTGGTGAACAGATACAAAATTAATTCATAGTGTATCGTTATATATCAATTTAGGGAAAATCATCGAGGGTGCTTAAAACCACTGTAAACCTTTGTGATGCTCATAGTATCACTTTTACCGTTAATCCGCCAAAGATTATCAATCGAACTTACGTGGAGAATTCGCGTAGCTCAGCGTAACTCAATAAAGCCATCGTATGAAGGTTTACATTGAAATTGACTTTGTTGACCAATCACAAGGGAGAACCGTTCGTCAGGCGCTCTGGTTGGTTGCTTATTTTCCTCCCATGTTATTGGAACGCAGAGGGACACAGAATTCACTGAGACCAGCGTGGTGTGGCGACGGAACAGAGCGCGGACATATTGGACCACCTGGCCTCAGCTTATCCTGTGTCACTCTGCGTTCCAATGGCATGGGAGGAAGATAAGCAGCCAACCAGAGAAGGACACGACTGAGGTGTAGTATATAATGAGCGGCGTGGCCAGCGTGGGGGACTCGGATGGAAGGCGCCTGAAGTGTGGCTCTGGCTTGTGATTGGTTAATAAAGCCTGTTTTGTTGTACCAGTCTTTGTACCAGTCTACGCTGGCCACGATGCTCATTATATACTGCTCCTCATTCGTGTAATTCTCTGGTTTTCTGCTTACATCCCTCGCATGCCATTGGAACGCAGACAGATACAGGATTGGCTGAGGCCAGTGTCCAATATACCTGCGCCCTGATCCGTCACAACACTGCCCCCCCTCAGGAGTGAAGCTGTCCTCAGCTTCTGGCTTGGTTCACCACACTGTTCATGATTGTTAAAATATCCAGTTCGACACTCCCCACACCCCACATCTGGCAGGGTAGTGGCCCATGCGAATGGTTGACGAGGGACTTTGCTCTTGTAGACGTGCAGGAAGGACGCTTCATCCATCGTAGGTTCCTTCGCAGTTGCAGTCTAGCTGGCTTCTACTGTCCATGTCATCGTCGCTGAGTTGCCAATGACTCTTCAGATGCAGAGGCCTTAATCCCGGGAAATGTTTATGGATCCAGAGTATGGGACATCAAGCGACCGCCATGACAACTTCAGCTGGCATTCAAGGGTCTTTGCCTCTGTTGTCCATAGGAGGGAAATGGCTAGGAATCGATTTGTGTTATTGATTCGCATCCGCTGCCACCAATGTAGAATACCCCAGCCCTAGTATGAAGAAGACTGGTACAACAGAACAGGCTTTATTTGCCAATTACAAGCCACAGCCGCAAGTCAGGCCCTTTTTATCCAAGTCCACCACACTGGCCAAGCCGCTCATTATATACTACACCTCAGTCGTGTCCTTCTCTGGTTGGCTGCTTAATTTCCTCCCATGCCCTTAGAACGCAGAGAGACACACGATTGGCTGAGGCCAGTGTCCAATATGTCTGCGCCCTGATCCGTCGTCAGACTACACCGCATTACCATCGATCTGGAAGTTGCGGCCACCATCCGTTCTTGTTGATGTCCTGCGTGGCCCGGCAAGTATCAGATGGCTCGGTTTCAAGCCCGAGGGAGTTTCTTAAGCGTCTAATGGGTGCAAATATTGCTGTCGAAATTGTAGACGGACGCAGATTTGTTGGTTCTTTGATTTGCACTGATCGTGATGCGAATATTGCCATGCGAAATGTCACTGAGCATCCACCGCCCGGTACTGCCTTAAAAGACGACCTGACGAGGCGGCTTTTTCTAATCACGATTCGTGGTGTACATATTAAGAGAATATTTGTTGAGGAATCGCTGATTAGCATTTGATTTTTCCAATAAACTATTGTTTTACATCGTTACGTTTTCTTTATTTTTTTATTTCGCCATATATAAAAGTAAATATCCTTGATTTTTAGGCTGAACAACATATTGAGTATAACGTTAAACGGGTTTTCGGGGTTGTGTCATTGTACTGGTTTGTGTCCATCTCCCTTGTGTTTATCAACAAGTGGCTTCTCAGCAATTCTGACACGCTGGTAGGTTGGGAATATTTTCCACCAAGCATTAGGTGGATGCGCCTCTTTTCATTACGTGGTTCCAATGTCTCGTTACCGTATGCTTGTGCATAGGGCTGTCAAAGTTGTCAAATTTTTTCCCCAATAAATTTTCCTTTCCTGGTCTTGATTACTCATGGAGAACTGCGATACGTGTAAGTTCCCTCGATTCTAACTCGTTTTTAGATCATGCCTCTTAGTTGCGTATTCTTTGCAATGATTGTATTCAATAATCTTTGTCTGAAATATTTGGATGTCTCCTTCTACTTTGTTGCTCGGTCGCTTACGACCGTCTTCAATGTGGTAAGTTCTCAATTCGTATGTCTGAAACATTCTACCATTCTCCGTATTCCCCCCTTGAGAATGTCAGTTTTTACCTCTAATCCTTTCGCTTGATTCGGAAATTTTGTATACTATTTATAAGAAAGTTATAAGACCATTTTTCGATGCTAACCAATGTCACCAAACTCTCTCAACTCATAATCATACATTCGTGGTATCCAAGAGATTTAACGATCTGCCACATTTTATGCACTATCTAGGGTTTACTGCTCTCCAAGGCTTATGTATTTGTTCCAGACTTGATTTACTATGATGGCTTGGTGCCTTTCGGCTTGAGTTTGATCTGGTGTTCCCAATATAGGGCTGGCATATTTACCTGTTTCTCTGAAGTGTTTCGTTTGTGCTTACATATAAAATGCCCCTTGCGCCGACCAAACTTGTAGATAACATTGTAAACAGCGAATTCTATTACATTAATTCGCTCCCTCATTTTAGTGTCTTCTGTTACCATAGATTCTGACTTATCTCATTCTGCGAAAGAAAACGGGCTGTAAGGCTATTCTCTGTTGTGCCGTGATAATTGCAGGCTACCTTACAAGCGTCTTCCAGGAAAATGGGCTAGGTACGGTACACTTTGTTCATGCTAGTTCTTACTTTATTCTGTTCATTTCTTTTATTGGAATCGGCGAATTGAATCAAATTATTTGCCTCAAAATTTGAGTAGGTTCTTGGGCTAAGTGTAGCTTTTGACGAGACCTGTGCAGTAGTGCATTGCGACACTGTATTATTTCTAAATCTATTTCATGATTTTAATCTTCGTTGATCTTTTATAGCGATTTACCTCAGATGTTATTTAATGCCGTAGATATGGGGTATGCACTATATTTTTCTCCTAAATCCCCAAGACTGCATAAATGTCTAAGTAGTCATGCGCTTTCACTAAAACTTACCATCAATTTCTTCTCTCCAGCTTAAGTTACAAAACTGCCTAGTGCTCTTTCAGTCACTTTTCATGTAACGAAAATGTTTTGTATAATGGCTCATTACATGTCTTGGTATATCCTGTGTTGCCTAAGTTATATTAAGAACTCTAAACGCGGTCATGTATGCGTTTAGTTTGCTCGCCTGTAAAAGCAAAGCCGTGTCACCAGCTAAACCTCCAGCACCACTAAATTCTGCCCTCTCTAAAACTGAGTCCAATTGGAGATTCTTAAGGTCCCGCAATATATGACTTAAAAGCTTAATTCGCTTAGAGCCGATTGCATATGACACTGCGCAAGAGTTTTTATAAGCTGTTTGCGTGGCACCCACTCATAAGCACCCCGTAAATTTATAGCTTGCTGCCTGTGGTTTCTGATTGCTGTTAGAGCTTATTCGATCATGTACTGACCCAAACCTTGTACTTCGTTTCTCCGTCAGTTTAATTACAACTCTCTCTCCCTTTGAAATTAAGTTCTTCTCAAAACGTAATTTCAAATCAACTTATGTTACCCAGTCACCGAAGATGTTTTTGCAATACTCCGTTACTTTACAATTTTCCATCCTCAAAGTCGACCTATGGCATTCAACTTGGAGTAGAATTCAAGCAAGGTAATGTTTGTACAAGGTAATAGACACTCGTCAATGATTTAATTTGTGTGCAAAATTAGGTGCATCTGAAGGCCCTTCAATTCCGCCATAAAAAGTGCCTCGTGATCGCGCTAATTTGCCAATCAACTAAGTTCTGTATTTTGAAGCCTCTGGTGGTTAAATGACTGTTTATAGCCCCACCTGTGTGTGTTAATAATGCAGAGGGGGTAGTGTGATTAAAATCAACGTACTGGTAACTACCATGACAATTGGCGTGCTTGTTTGGAATTGTGGATTTCGTAGGTGTGCCAGCTTGGCATGTATCTCCATCCCTATAAGTAGTCCACTTTCTATCCGTCGTAACTACATTCACACATCCACACGGTAAAAGTCCATCTACCGCTGTGATTGCTCTCCTTATTCCTTCAGACAATGTACTTTTCTCCAAAATCGTGTTTGTGAACTTCTTCTCTAGTACTCAGCTGGAAGTCTCGTGTTTCAAATAAGATGTTTTTAGGCTCCTGGTTGTCTAAACAAAAATAACACTGCTGGGAAGAGACCCACCCACCAAAATATCCGCTGACGTTGCGAAAACTGTAAGCGGAGTATTTTTTGCACAAGTTTCACAAGAGTGTAATTGTTGTTGTAGTGCATGGCTAAGAGGTGCCCTTCACTACTGTGGATGCCTTTTGGCGGTGTCACCTTTCGTGTTACACGTGGCACCTTCTTTCAGCATTCCTTGACCTGTGAAGGCTTGGTTTTCGAAATGTGGCAACCTCAAAGTCGTTATTTTGTTACGTTTTATCTGTAACTAAAACCTATGCACTCGAATAACCGTTCCCCCAGATACCTTGTCTGATGCTAGCCCCTCCCCCCACACCTTCCCACGCCGGTGTTGTAAGTCAAGGCAGGACCTAGTGCAGAGAGTTTTTAGCGTCTCAGCCAAAGGTCGAGTGATCTGTCTGAATGTGCTCAGTCATTGAAGTCAAGGATGACCTTGACGTGATGGGTTAAGGTGGATTAGCACAGATGGAGGCGTTAGTAGTGTGCGGTGGGTGACTCACTCGCTGAAGTTGTGTGGTTTGGGGATCCCCAACAAGCTACTACTTCTGGTATCTGAAATGTACATTTGATTGCAGCTGCGGCAAGGTGGATTAGCACAGATGGAGGCGTTAGTAATGTGCCGTGGGTGATTCACCCACTGAAGTGGCGTACCTAGGGCAATTGTTGTCTTCAGTGACCAAATCCTATTTCGCGATGCGCCATCTTGGGGAATGCTGGACCCGCAACGAATTTACAGGTGGCAAGTCCGGTGACTCTTGAGAGAGAATTCTGTAAATTTTTATCGACGCATCGTGCAGTTTGAGTTTGGAAAGTACTTATATTTGTTCAAAAAATAGCTGAATTTATAGTTGGTTTTTCAATTATCCGACTAGGCACCCTTTCTCTACTCGGCCTTGTGTATGGACTGTCTGCCAGCCTCGCTGTTTCTCTGTTCTCTATTCTCACATCGAAGGGATTGGCCTACGTTGACGGGAGTGTTTGGCGGCTTACCTTCTACAACAACATCAATTCATTTCTCCTCTTCATCGTGGGTATCGTCCTTACTGATGAGCTGACTGAATTAAATTATCTACCAGCCACTTTTAGGTAAAATCACCACCTCTGACTCGCAGTATTACTGTTCTTTTTTTCTTAAAAAGACAGCCCGCCTTTCATTGTGGGGCCTTGCCTACTGCAAACTCGATCAGTCTGTAGGTCAGGGATTTTGCAATAGTAACTAAGGCAACTTTAAGTGTGGCCTCAATCCTCTCACTTTTTATTCCTTCGTGTCTGTGTGTTATGCTCTTTTCCAGCTACGTTGGTCTGTTTTTCTGGAGTATGATGCTGATCAGCGGGATCTTCGGTTTCGCCATCAGTTATGTGACCACCTGGCAAATTCAGGTGACCAGCCCCCTTACACACAACATCTCGGGCACTGCTAAGGCCGCCGTCCAGACAATCCTCGCGGCCTTGATTTCCCTGCACTTCAAATCGGTGCTCTGGTGGCTGGGCAATTCGATGGTGGTTGCTGGCTCCATAGCCTACGCCTACGTGCGCCACAAAATCTCCACTAGAGAACAGGCTCTGCAGCTTCCGCAGTCTCGGAGCGCCTCCGATATGGAACCGTTTCTTGAGAAATCTGTGGCAAGCGACCCCGAAAGGAGTAAATAGACATGCGTCGTCGTTCTGACTGCATGTAATTTCAGGCTAGGAACTTTGTATCCTTCCCTTTTTTGAAACTACTCACCATTTTGGATCTGGTATATCAGGGAATCGTTTGTCCTATCATTTTCAACCTTTTCCATGATAGTACGTTTGGCGTATTGCCGTTTTTTTTCCATCTAATCTGTTTCCCCACAATACCTTTACTCCGTACATTTGCTTTGCTTGTTTCTCCTTCAATCCTAACCACATGCGTGCGTTATAAAGGACGCAGGTTGATCGGGAAGTCAAGGGGCTGTTAAAAACAGTGAGAAGGAGGGCCGACGCGATCGTTCACTCACCCAACAGTTTGCACTAACAGACTATTATGGAACTGGAATCGGTCTTGCAAATGTCACTCAGTAGTTGGCTCCTCCAACAACGGCCTGAAGTAGGCACCAGAGCCGTCTTCTATGACATTAACAGGTTTTTCAACGAAAGAGCGCTGTTACAATAGTGGCACTGTCTTGGCTCCGCACGTGTGAATGCAAGTCGCTAATTTTCGATGTTCATTAGCCTCCACGGTCAAAAAATAGATATTTTCTTTTCCATGGTAGACCTATCAGAAATTGGTTTAGGTAAACGGTTGCGTGTTGTGTTAGAAATACGTACGTACTCGAGTCCATAGTTATTGACGTGCAGAATGAGGCGTGGGTGTCAAAAACTTCCCGCGCTGCTTTAAAATGTCATTGGGTACCATTTTAGCCTCACAAGCTGCGCAGTCGCCATGTTAGCTTCGAATTGTCTTTTTGCCTGTAAAAAAAATCCAACTGGACCAGAGCTTACTGTGGCTTTTGATGTTATTGGTGGATCTGCGTCTTCCTTGGGTTGCCTCCTCGCCAGAAAGCTCGTTAGGTCTAGATCGCACGAAATTTATTACCTCGCCGCGTCACATGCTAATGGGAACTCAACACTAGTAGTACCTAAAGTTTCTAATGATTTGAAAGTCACAAATGAATACCCAAACTCGCTTGGACTAATACACAGGAAAAGCCTGCATTCCCCATTCTAGTCTTGATTCAGCAGTGACCAAGCATCAGAATGCGTTTGTCCCAGATGGCTGTCGCCAACTCCTTGCATGTTATCTAACTTAGGCTTGTTTTTTTGGTATTTACACACCAGATTACAATTTTTGAGGTTCATATGAGATTTTGATCTTGGTGAAGAGTACCACTGCTAGAAGTAAATCAGCGCTGCACCTCCTTTTGAAGACCCCGTCCTCCGTTTCGTGGATTACAGGTTACGCTTTCTCAGCCCCTCCTGCTAAATGGATGCAGGAGTTGACAGACCTTGTGGAATTCCCGATTTGCGGTTTCGCAGAATCGAATGTGTCCTGTTTCAAGAGGTTTATACATCTTCCCTAGCAATCATTTTGGTCCCAAGTTTTTGAATAGAATTAATTTGGGTGAAAGAATTTATTAAACACGAAATACGTTGCGGCAGTGAAAACGAAACAGAAAGTCAAATGCAGTATCTAATTACATGCGGCGTGAAGATTATACAAAGAAGACGATCTCGGGGATTTGACCGTCCTCAACTGAGGTGCCATTGTTCATACACGCTGCATAGGAAAAGTGGAAGGTGACTTTGCTCCCCGTAGAACATTCGTGGGTGATTTCCCGCAGTCCTCGAGTCCCGTAGTATGTGTCTTGACCCTGAACAAGGGGAGCAAATATTATGCGAACCTGAAACCAACAACTGGTCACACTACCGTGTCAACTAAGGTACAGGCGCATTCAATCGGAGTCACAGCGTAGCCACGCGGGCTCTGAAATATGAAGTGCGCTTGTGCTTACTTTGATTGTGGCGCTTGCGAGGTAGTTCACGTTGGGCGTCAGGGGAATGGGCTCTTTAAATGCGACGCGGAAGGTGTTGGGCGATCCGTCGGCCAAGTAAGTGACGTCATTGCTGCCCAGCACAACGCCGGATTCGGGGTGAACGATCTAGAAAGGATTAAGGCTGCTATTGAAGTACTGTAATAACATCTGTGAGGAACATTTAAAAATCACAAGGATTTATTCGTCAATAACGAAACACTTGTTGTTCTGAGTTTAATCCACCATCAACCCTAATACCTCGTAGGAAAATCCACAATGGCATTTACCCGCACCAAATTTTCTAAGAGCGCAGGGACGGCGCAGTGTGGTCTTAGAGAAAGGGTAGTTGCTTGTACGGAATTTAAGTGAGGCAAGACAATTGGAAGAATGCCGAACGTTTCCCACGGCTTGCCGTGCTCCCTCACAGAGGAAACAGTGGAGGTACTTGTTGCAATAAACTTCCCAAAGAACCATGTTGAGCTCATTAACGCCATGCAAGGGCAAATGCGACCCCGAGTCACGCTGGCGCCTACTCCGCTGAACAGTCAATATCACGAAATCGGTATTCTTTTCTACAAGCCGAATGATTCACCTCGTTACGCCCCCAACCAGCGCATCGAAATACTTGAGTTGCAGACACTTGACATTGACGGCAAAGAAAACCTATTTATCAAAAACTACCACCTAACAAACGCAATCGCGCTGTAATCTAAAACGTAATCGCGATTCTAAGGGGACAATTCTTACTAAAATAAAAAAAGACAAAATCACATTATGGACTTAATGTACCTGTCCCAAAAATGCCAATTTTCATGTACTACTCATGCCACCGACCGAGTCATTGCAAAATCACATACCCATTGTCAAAACATTTCAAATAACCTATTGGTAGGCTCGGCGGCAATCTGATTACCGAGGATGGCAGTTACGTCGACTAATTCACATTTGTTGGGAAATGAACTTGAACATAACAATAGAATAATACGTATCCGAAAAAATCAGTTTACAAATGATTTTCGTTGATTATTTTTAAAAAAAAACAACGAGCGTTTTTCATCAACAAACCGTACACTACATATAGGGGGGGTTTTCCATTGATTCATGAATTTTTGGGCAACAAAAGAATTTACAGTAAGAGATTTTGTTTCTACTCAAAAAGTAATAGTAAGCATGCATGAAAGAATACCGAGACGAACGTCCACATTCAGCACTAAAATTTTGTGCCAAATTTCGCCCTAGCAGAATTGGCTTAGGTTCAATGCACGAGTAGCTGTAATGCGCTGATTGAAACCCGCGCAATTTTGCAACACATAAATAGGTAAAGTCAAGAATCTACGTGGAGGCGGGGACTGGCTCTCATTAGTCGCAGACGAAATTCGACCACAACGACTACGGCAATGAGAGGCAAGATCGACCAGGGGCGTCGCTCAACGCAGGAGAGGTTGCGCTCACCACGCAGCCTCGAAAGAGTGGATCGCAGTGGTCACTGTATCAACGTCAGGTTCTACTCGCCTGCTCCGCTTACCAAACCTCTCCCCCCAAAAAAACCGCACTCACGACATTGGCTGGGGCGATCCCTTTTTAAAGCATTTTGCCAAAACTAGCACAGACCAGGCGTGTTTGCCTGTTTAGTATCCCGGATTCGGTTGATAGCGGTCTCTTTCTGTAAGCAAAGACGTGTAAATGTAGGACTCTAAGGCTAGTAATTGTTGCCATTTGCCTTAACGAGGTTAAAACAACCGCTTTCATTGGCCAAGGTGCATTCAAGACATCATTTCTTGTATAGAGGCTGATTTTGTTCTGATGGTTCGCGGACTACCATTGATGTCGTGGTACAAAACGAGCAGAGCTGAAGCCGTTGTGCTGTCACTCCCGCGTCAGTCGCAGACGAGAAAGCACTTGGCCTGCACGACGTTGGACAGAAAAATTGAGGCATTACGCACAGTGTCAGGAGGCAGCAACATCGATTTAGTCGACCCACGCTGATTACATGAGCCAGCACCCAGTGTGAGGCTCGTGGATGCGGATTGCTAGAAGGGTGCTGATTTGGCGGATCAATTGCTGCCATGAGAGCAAATTGACAAGCCGCAATAGAGAGGAAATACTGGGAATTATGCTGCAATCGTAGACAGCCCTTAAGAGGCAAGAGAATGCGATGGATTTCGTCCAATCGACCCACCCACAGACGACAAGAAGGTTCCAAGAGTTGAGTTCCTTCGGGGAAGGCTGTCGTCCATGGTAAAAGTGTGAAGATGGCGTTAAAATCACCCCTGGGTAAGGTGCATTTTATGCGTGCGAACTCTGAAACTACTTTTGCTTAAATTACGCCCAGCAGCTTGTTTAAAAAAGACTAAAACGCATTACACACCAAGAATTGCTTCGGCAATTGGGGCAAACTTGTGTCGTGGATAGCAAAGCATTCCCGTCTGTAGTGAAATCACAACTCGAATTCAGAGAAAACCAGCGAGTTACCTCGATACTGGCTTCATATTCACTCTGTCCGTGTATGCTCCCGTAGAGTCCAAAACCAACAACGTAGATCTTCCGGTCCACTTTAAATCTAAAAAAAGAGAAACAAGCGACTATTTTGGCACAAACATAAAAATACGGACCCCGCCTAAGTAATCCGCCCCGACCACTAGCCAACGCACGTATTCAAACTCGATCCAAACAACTAAATTTAACATTTGGAATGCCTGGTAAAGAACTCAGCTTTCGAACGAGAAACATTCAGGCCGAGCAAAATGATTCATTGGTGATAGCAGAGAAGACGCTACGGGAATATGACTTCCCATGCGTGAATCAGTACTCCCATTTGAATCAAAAGTTCGGCATAATTAACATTCCTCAACTAATTCGGCATCGTTCAATTGTGGTTCCATCGAAATACGCCACTAAATGATTAAACTTTAATTGCTATTCGCGAAGGTCATCGCAGACATTTAAGTTAGCAAACAAGGACTTCCTGCCGAAAGATTTTGACCTAAATATAACTGCAGCGACTTTTGGATTGAATGACGACATAATAACATCGCGAACAGCCCAAAAGTCAAAAAGAACCATTCAAGCCGATCAGGTTGGCGTAGACAAACGTAATTCAGCAATTTAGCAGAATGCCTGGCCAAGTTTTGCTCATAGAAAGTTCATGGTACCTGATTCGATCACTCGTTCCTCGGTAATCCCATCGCTGATCGACCACACTGAAACGCCGGACAATCTCCTCCACGCCGTGCAGATAGCATCGAGGTCGCTTGAGGAATGGCAGTTCGGGTTTTGCAGTCTTCGAGGTGATGAAGTGCTGGAAGATCTTCACTGCCATGGAGTCCTCCAGTACGCCAGAGGGGACGACGACGTCAGCAAACTCCTCGATGCTCATCTGTGGAAATCGGATGTGAGGGAGAAGGGGCTGTAAGATGTCGCGGAGTGCTTCCATGGGAACATCTGAGAGACCGGGAAGGGTTGTGTCTGAGGCGGGTCGGGGCAGAGAAGGTAAGTGTGCGGAGACAGGAGTTAGAGGGGCTTCGTCTGCAGCCGGAGGGGAAGACGAAGGTCTTGGCTCTGGGAAGAGTCGGTGATATTCGGCTTCAGCCCACTTGACCACAGAGACAAAGAGGCGCACCTCGCGGATGCACAGGGTGTCGCGTTCAAGAATGCTGCGAAGCAGATCGCTATCTAGAGCCAAAAAATCCTCCGTGTCGAGGGCCTTGGCTGTGTTTTTGTCAATGACCTATGAGATGATGAAGTGAACATTTTAGGAGACCAAAAGAACAGACAGGTGGTAGACAATCAAGCTTTGCATTACGCAGAAATCGATAAACTGGACATAGCTGGTGGACTGGCGAAGTCTAACTATCTGACAACCTGAATGAGTGCAACAAGATGAAAAAGAAAAGCCAAACACCACTACGTCTACAATCCTGCATTCCTGATATTAATTGAACAGAAAGTATTGCAATTACTAACGTAGGCGTTGCACATCACCAGGGAAATAGGTACACATTCAAGATGAGACTAAAAGCTCAAGTATTTTGTAATGAATCACACCGATTCAGGTCCATCAACCGATTGTCGCATTCACCGCCGCACTGACCTGCTCATGCCGTCCCTACCGTTCTTGCTAAGCCGTCTGCCCACATGCCCCTGTGCGTGCACCACCCCCAGGCTACCGGACGGTTTACATGGTCGACTCAGAGTCCAGAATTGCGTGATCTGGTCACTGGAAGCCGCATAATCAAATGTTGCCAAATGAATTTTAGAAGCAAACTGCCAAAAACGCAAGCTGTGGATATGGACTAAAGCAAAAGAAACATTAAGCCGCATTACAGCAATGTTACTTCTTTCATCGTCTACAGTTACGAGTTGGAATGCATTTTCATCATTCAAAACCACCCCACGCTTTCTGAGGACACCACTAGACCTCCGATGATCAATTCACCAGAGACCACTCTGATAAAGGGGAGGCGAGGGCAACAGTCAGTTCTGCAGCCCGACAATCCGCTCTCGATAGCAGCTGACTGCCACAAAGATTTGGACTGCGGGGACATGGTTTTTCAAACACGGCCAGTACCGTAGAACTGTCGACGGGTAAATAGCATTTAGGAAGTGAGACGGAATGGGGCTTGTTACGTGGTGGGACGGTGATTCGGACGGCATGAAAAAACTGAGATATGGGGAACGTTGAGTCGACTCACTTCAAGGCATTTTTGGGCCAATTCCTGTTCGTCAAAGAAGTTGGCTTGTCCAAGGAGCATGAACGCGTTATCCACGGTGATTGCCTGACTCAAAAAGTCAACGCACGCGATTTCCATTACATTAATCGCATACTTCTTTGCAACATACAGCGTCTGAAGAACGTTACTGGCGTCTATTTGGATTTCGTCGGTGTAAATGAAACGCAAAACGTTTGTGAAAGCCACGGGATTTACATCATCCAAGTGAATCTCTGAAAGAGAATTTTGAGTAGTCCTAACACAAATTAAAAAAAAAAACACGGAGCAAAGTGCACATGTACAAACAAGCTTGTGTAGGCAATTAGTTTCGAGGCCCTATAAATGACAAGTGACAACTATTGAAGAGGAAGATCGGGACCGCACTAAATGAAATTAAGTTTAGTTACAACAGTACTGAAATCAGTTCAATTAAATAAGTTTCATTTGCAAGTTGGCAATTCCCTCTTTTCCCTTGTTAAATTTTAGGTGTTAACTTGAACAGCACAGGAAGAAAATCTTTCGGCAAATGTGGGTGTTTAACATGCCAAAAATGAAAGAAACAAACCTCGAACTAGGATAAAAGCAAAAACTTGTCCGAAAATCTAGACGTTGGCTTCTTGTATCAAACTAAGAGTAAAAATTTCAAATGATTAGGAAAACTTTTGGCTCGGGCCCACACAAAAAATGACATAGATCAACGTAAAAACAGGAGTTGCATTTATGGGTTAATTACGAGTTAATTTGACAAATTAAATCGCAATTACCGCAATAAACTAGCAGTACCAGTACAACTTTACAATTGCGAGTAAATATGTGAACTGTAACGATTTCTCTTGCACTGGTTCCTTCCAAATGACCGTTTGAAATGCGCTTTTCGGCTTCGAGATCACACACTAACCACTCACCTCCTGATATACGCATACAGAGACGAATAGATGCAAATGCTGGCTTTGCATAACTCATGGGAATTCGGGATGAATGGTTTTTCGTCCCTTCCTAGAGGTTCATTACCAGCGTTAATAATCGCGATGCTGTGGAGATATACTAATACTGAAAACGACCTAACATGACACCTCGTCGACTCACTTTCAACACACGAGGTGCCACTGCAACCCAAACAGCGTCCAATCTAGTGAAAAGATTGGGCGCGATAAGAAGACGACGAGGCGATGTGCAGACATTTACAAACACTGACCAGAAGAGTTTTAGTGGCATTGACGGCCACTTGCGGTGGAAAGACGGCGACTGAGTTTCAGGCATGGCGGCTTCGACAGCGCAGTCCGTTTGCTGCAGGCGATTCGCAATAAATTCACACACTCCCTAGTACCGACTATTTACGCATTTCAGCAAAGACTTTCTTGAAGCAACAATCTAAGGCTAGGGCTCGGACACTAGCTTAAGACATTAAAGGTCGCAAAACAAAAATATCCGGGCATATTTGAACGCCTTGTAAGACATTGTTCGAGAAAAAAACTACCCCGATTGCCAAAAAAACGGGACCAAACAAACATGGGATCAGCATAGACGACTGCATCGGATAATATTACAACCACCCAAGTACGAAATGACATTAGTTGTCAAACTGTCAACGCTAAACGAGGTTATTACAAAACAAGAAAAATAGCAGTACCAGTAGTTACCAATGGCACTGCTCGAAGTAATTTGGCTGGATGAAGGATTAAAAATTACAGGTTGTGTGTGCTCGACTTTTCCTAGTTCTGCTGGGTCAACATCACCCGTTGATTCAACATGGATGTCCTCCATTGGCTCAGCAGCTGACAACATCGAAAAAACGCCGGCGGACGGCGACCAGGACGACTGTCGCGCCGCAGGTTGCTCGGAGCACTTATGAGGTGACTGCTGCGATTTGCCAGCGGCGGTGGCAGCTGTGCCCTGAACTGACATCGGCCCGTAGAACATCGCCTCGAAAACCGCCGAGCTGATGGCCAGGACAAACGTGTGCGCGGGGATCCTGTGAACCAAGGTCTCGGCCCGGCTGGTCGAGGGGTTCTTGGACGACTTGTTGTGGACAAATGGTGTTGAGGCACCATCGCAGCCAGGCTGATAGTGAATATTGAAATAGACGTCAGCCAGCGTGGTGTTGGCGAACAGGCTTCGAACGCGCTCACTCACGCAGGAACGGTTGGATTGCCAATTAAAATGAAGGGGCGAGGCTGCCACAAGCTACAAATCACAAAACCCGTTGAACAGGCCAATCGAACCAACTCAATCACCAATAAAACATCCAGATATATAGGTTGCTATGTAGAGCAGTCGTGGTTCAAAGTAAATACAACAGTACACTTCCCTAGTAACAATAAGCATATTTTACAGGGTGGCCCCGATGTAAGCTAACCCTAATTGCCCCTAAAAACCACTAATGAAACCAAGTTCAATTACACAATATTGCAACATATATTCATTAGGTAGACCATTATGTGCAATTTAGACTCGACATTGCCTGGTATTCTAAAGAACCATTTTTACAAGCTTAGGAAAACAAGATTAAACCCGATCGTGGTAAATGCCATGTTAAAGTTGGACGACAATTTAACAAAAACAAAGGCATTTACCAAGATAACCCGTGCAAGACAGAAGACAGAACAAGAAGTTGGGTTTAATAACAATCACAAAACCTTCCATGGTACGATGTACCTAATAAAAAGTTATTAACCTAAAGCTATTACATTATACACATCTCTACTTAAAGGCATCAATGAATAGTTCATTCACGCTGTTAACGCTTGTAGGATATGCCACACAGTCATGTCCAAGACCAGATTTAATGAGTACACAAGAGTCAAGTACAAACCAGATGACCTGTTAATATTTTGGATGCACTTGTGGAATTTTTCAATAGTAAGTATGACGATGGTCACCTGTTTTAGTTAACGACCTAGTTCATAGTGAGGTCGAGTTTGACTGCTGCCAGTGGTAACGGAGACGGTAATATCACCAAAAAATTAAATTAATTGGAATACCGCCCCGATTTATTCAATTAATTAACCGCAAATACAGAAAATATGACAGACTATACCAATGGTATATGTGTAGGCTATTGTTGATTTTGTTTTTCAATTATTTGTAAAGCAATTAAGTATACTAAACAGTAGAAGCTAACTGTTAGCCTGGTCCCAAAACGCGTCAAATTTCGCGCGTTTTTCTAGTTTCACATAAAATGGGAAGTTATTGTTACAATGAAAATTAGAGCTATGGAGATTTATTAGTTTTAAAGCAAACAATACTCAATGCTAACTAAACCTCAGGAATTATTTATCGTGCCATTACTGACATTAGTTGAAACTACGATACGAAGAATTCACCTTTGCACTTGAAAACAAGACATCTTTTCAAATATCCATAAATAGGTATTTAAATGCCGAGGAATATATTCAGGTGCCCGTGGGCATGTCACAAATCACGACCTGTGACTTGAGCACAGGACTAAATTTCCATGAGAAAAAAGATATCGGACTAGAAAATTCTACAAAAAAAAGATTTAAAAGCGTGCAGAGACTTCAAACCGAGATCTTAAATCTTGTCTTAATAAATAATTAAGTAGGAAAATTAATTTACTTTCGGGACTTAAATAACATGCATATGCCTTCTACAGCAGCGGAAAATGTTTAGCGCAATAAGAAGCAACAGGTCCTCTCACAATCAACACAGACAATGGTATTTTTGCGCTGACATTTCTATGACATACAAATAACGACGACAGTCACTATTCTGAAATGGCAACAAACTAATCAATACAATAAAATGACTTACACCCGAAGAACTAGCAAGGTTTTCATTTAACAGCGACTTTTGTCGATTTTTAGCAGCGGCAACTGCTACATTGTTTTTAGCAGGCGAATCGACTCCACTGGAATTCGGAAAACATTGCCTTGCATCCTCAGCGTGCATTTTGCAGAACAGGTATTCTAAAATGGAGCTAGACCTCAGAATGGGGCTAACGATATGCACCACAAAAGGTAGGTAACACCATGAAGTCACAACAATATTGGACCATTTTTCATCAAATTCCATATAGCTAAAATGTCAGTTAAATTCATCTACATGCAGCCACATTTTGAAGTTGTTGCTTTCATTTGCTATGTACATACTTCTAGGAAGGACAAAGTAGAGTGCTGGACATTACGAAAGAGGTTGTTTTTTTTTCTGATTTATCACAAAAAACGTGAGTCTAAAACCGAGTCAACTTAAACAATTGCAATCTAGATAATAATGTGCGATTTACTTTAAATAAGTTTAACGCATAAGTCATTTTAAATATCACTTTTATCAATGGAAAGCCGTTTGATATTATCGACCACTGAAAAGTAATGTCAGATAACCTACCTATTGCAAAACATTTCAACAAAATAAATTTTCAAAATTAACTATAAACGTATTGCTTACTTCACTGTCCACTTTACTACGTGTTTAAACATCAGCGAGTTTTTGATAAAAGAAAACCAATCTTATGAGACCTCCAAAGCACTCTACCCTGTACAAATAAAATAGGTTTCCTATTTTTCTGGACGGAACGAATTCGATGACAAAATCGCAAATTACTATTACGCAGGATACCATAATTACTTAATCACCTACAACTGGTATTCGGGCAGAAGGGCATCGACCACCATTGCAAGGACGGTCTCAATTACAGCGTTTGAAAAAGTGCATTCTCAATTAATTTCAATCACGAACATGACTTGGTCAAACAATCAGCCATATTAACCTTCAAATAATTAATAAAGAACCGTATATCGTATTCTAAAAGAACAACAGCGTAAACGAAAACAAGTGGTGTGGCTAATGTTGGATCAGAGAAGAGAATAAGAATTTTAAAAACAATGCATTTATTAGTTTCGGAGCCCAAACGAATAACGAGATTACCATAAACGTAAAAAAGGCACGCATATACAAAGACCGCTAACCTTCTATAATATACAAAAGCGACGCAACCGCCTAACTTTAAGCTGCGCAGGTACAAACACTGCACGGCAAAACACGAAAGTTATTAAGGATGCAATAACAAATAGTAGGCATTCACTAAAACTGTAAATTATATTACCAGACCAAGCAACGAATTATATGTCTATGTCTGAGAAGGAAGTTAATTGCATGTAATCGACAGGAAATCAATTTTTTAACGATCCTCATGATCAGTCCTTGTTGAAAAAATATTACATTCATCTAAACTCATAATATCCTGTACCGCTAACCAAGAATCACATATTATTGCTTCAGTAGACTAAGCAGAATAAACAACAAAGCCTTCAGTTGGATCTGACCTTCTTTAGTGACTTTAAATTAAATCCACAAACTAGACAAATATTAAGAAAATATATTAGCGAATTCGAAACTAAAACATTAATTAACCCGACACAATAGAGTACATTACATATTTTACAAATAAGCTTCCTTAGCCATATAATTAAGGATTTCTATGCAGTCGGTAATAAAAGGGCCAAAATTTAGACTAATGCACAGAAATGTTTGGATCCCACCACCCACAATAAAGAAGTCTAAACTCTCCTTTTAGTAAAAAACTACTATAAAAGATCAAAAATGCATGATCATCACAATGCTGTTTTTAAATCATGTTAACTACTGACATTCCGATTCGCAGATCACACATTAATAAATGGATACTTAATTGATCGAATACTTCATCACTGAAATAAACAAAGGGGATTTAGTTGAGTATATACGTTTCAAAAATTAGGCGCCAACAGCTAAGATGCTTGACTTTGAAACAGTGACAGCTTCCAAATGTTTTTATAGACCTACTCATCCGAGGAAATCAACGCTGCGATCGGTGTAATGTTCATTTTGTTTCTATTTGCTACCTATAGTAATCTCGCTCCGTAAAAAGTAACCACTTGCTTCTACTTCGCCCATGTTCGACCAGGTGACGCTACTTCCAAGGTAAGTCCTGGTAAGCACATACAAAAGCAGGCCTGATTAAGACGAGCACAGTAGCTTCGACGTAGTGACATCGTTGACTAAGAGACTACATTTGACACCCGTTGCCCTAAGTCAACCAAGTCGACCGCAATTTTTGATGCACAACTGCCCCTATATTTGTAACCTTTCACAGATATCCGATAGCGCTTTCGCTTACTTAATTCAATGTAACGAATGGATTCCGCAAGCTCGACTAATATTTTCTAGAGAAAAGCTCTACACGTTTCGGGAAATCACTACACCGTGGCCACCGTCGCTGGCAGCTCTGGTGCCTGTCAAGGCAGCCAAATGTAGCTGCGATTCCTTTCATAAACCCTCCTAACAAGCAATGGCCACAATGCTGACAAATAAGGCAGTACAAGTTTGGCCCACTTACGGTTTTGGTTGTTGTTCATTTACCACCCTCTCTACTTAGACGAGAAAGCACTGGTGTGAAAAATT